TGATCATATACCGCACACCACTTTGCACTCTTCACGTGGTTTCAAGCAATGAAAACACACTTAAGAGGAATTTGCAAAATGATATGTGCGGCGGTTTCGCTTCCGCTTAGCCTTTTTGTAAACACAACACCGTTAAAGAACTAAGGGTGTCATGAGGTTTCAAAACTCCTGTGGCCTATACATTAGTAAGCGGTTGTTTCGCTTAATTAAGGGAAGTTGATTAGTGGCTCATCCTTAAGCTTGCGGGCGGATTCTGTCAGTCGCCGGAGTGAAATGTGAACCACCGCTGTCAATGTATTGACGTTGAGCAGTAATTTCAGTGTTTGTCCTCAATATCTCATGGGCCGTATTAGCGAGAGGTTCTGCCACTGCAGTTGCTCCTTCGGGAAATCTTCAGCCAATCCCGGCATGAGGCATATGCATGAGGCCGAATGCGCCATTAAAAATTGTGACGCAAAGGTGGTTCTCTTAATATTCTACCGGTTTCACACCCTCGTCACACGAAAGCACATAACTGTTTCAAGCTTACAAAGGGTTAAAGCCCAACTGCAACGAAATTTCACTTTAGTGGAAACGTCCCTATAGATACGTAATATACATACGGTAAGTTAGGATAACGACTGTGAAAAATCTTGCAGTCGTGAATTTATTTATAATTTCTGCTGTAACTTCCAGTAAGCAGACGACGTAGACCTCTAGCGGTGTGCCCAGGCAAATCAGACAGAACCAGATATGACGATTACTACAGAACGTCGCCGCGTCGCTCCTTGTGAGCAATCCTCCCTGCCACTGAATCCCTTTTTCCTGCGTTGAAAGCACTTTGTAATGTAGCTCGTTTAAAACGCGCCTGTACGTTTGTTTGTTTTTTCCTTCCTCCATGGTTTGGACTACCTTGGCACCGCCTAAAGTGAGCGCGTACGAAATGCGTTCGCGCTGCATTGAAATCGTTGGTACGTCAAGTTCGTGCCAAGCAGCATTTCTGAATACGGGGATCGACACTGCAAACCCACCAGTGGGAAGCCCAGACCAGCGTACGATAACACGCATGTTTATGCAGTTTTATTAAGTTGACAGAAAAAAAAACACACATTCTAAGGGGAAAAACACACATTCTAAGGGGCACGTCCACGGTATGCGTGCTCTAAGATGGCGGAGCAGACGATATTTCTGTCGTTCACGAAACTTCCAGTTAGCCGTAATGGCGCCGTTTAAATGCGAAGCATTCCTTAGCGAACTTCGGCGACATTGAGCGTATCTATCTATCTATCTATCTATCTATCTATCTATCTATCTATCTATCTATCTATCTATCTATCTATCTAATCTATCTATCTATCTATCTATCTAATCTATCTATCTATCTATCTATCTATCTATCTATCTATCTATCTATCTATCTATCTATCTATCTATCTATCTATCTATCTATCTATCTATCTATCTATCTATCTATCTATCTAGCCGCCTACAACTTTTAGCTCTCCTGGCCGTTTCGATATTGTATCGATACCAAACTTTGTATGGCATAACATGACTGTAAGAAGAACATATTTGACTAATCATAACATGAAAATCATGATATGTATGTCGTGAATGTCATGTTTTACATTTTATGCTCCGGCAGCTCTTGCGGTGGTTTCGTTCACATGACATGTTGGAAAACTGGTATGGTATGACATGATTGCATGGTGAACACAAGCGACAGACCCCAACAAGAAAATCACGACGTGCGTGTCATGTAACAACATGACTACATGCCACACTCATGATGCAATCACGGCCGTTTTGCTATCTTCACATATGCCAAATTTGGTATTACGTGACGTCAGTGAATGACAGAGGTATGTGACTGGTGCGAACATAATCATGAGATGCGTGTCATGTGACAACATGATTACATGCCACAGCCAAGGCGCCAATACTCTTCGACGTAACACGGTGCGCGTGCGCGCCGACGTTCATTTTCACACCGGCGTTGCCACGCCAGCAGCCGGTCCTGCTATAAATTTGCAAGCGCGCGCAGCGTTGCGTTGCTTTGACAGCGCGTCCGGCGTCCCTCCGTGACGAAAAGAGGCAGACGCTGTGCTGTCTGGGTAACGTAGTGGGTGTGAAATGCAGCAGGTCGCGGTTCGCACCGGTTGGCGTCGGGCCGTGCCGACGGACGCTGGTCGCACCGTTCGCGCCTGGCGTCAGACTATAAAGCCCTCGCGTTTGTTTAACGTATAGAGTCGCTGTGCCCAGCGTGCGCGCGCGTCAACTTGACGTTGGAGTATATTGGGCCCTTCATGATGCACTCGCGTCCATTTCGCTAGCTCCACCACCTATACCAAATTCGGTGTTACGTGATGTCAGTGGATGAGAAGAAATGTGTCCGGTGCAAACATGATAATAATGACAGGCGTGTCATGTATGAACATGACGACATACCACGTTCCTAGAGTGCTCGCGGACATTTTGCTAGCGTCACATATACGAAATTTGGTATTACGGTACATGAATGGACGACATGAGTAAATGACACATCCAAACATGATAATCACGACAAGCGTGTCATGTAACAACATGACTACTTGCCACACTCATGATGCAATCGCGGCCATTTTGCTATCTTCACATATGCCAAATTTGGTATTACGTGACGTCAGTGAATGACAAAGGTATGTGACTGGTGCAAACATGATAATCATGAGTTGCGTGTCATGTGACAACATGACTACATGCCACACTCATGATGCAATCACGGCCGTTTTGCTATCTTCACATATGCCAAATTTGGTATTACGTGACGTCGGGACACATACTACATGCCACAGTCAAGGCGCCAATACACTTCGACGTTACACGGTGAGCGTGCGCGCCGGCGTTCATTTTATCGCGTCACGCCGGCGTTGCCACGCCAGCCGCTGGTCCAGCCATAAATTTGCAAGTGCGTGCAGCGTTGCGTTGCTTTGACAGCGCGTCCAGCGTCCCTCCATCACGAAAAGAGGCAGACGCTGTGCTGTCTGGGTAACGTAGTGGGTGTGAAATGCAGCAGGTCGCGGTTCGCGCCGGTTGGCGTCTGGCCGCGCCGACGGACGCTAGTCGCACCGGTCGCGCCTGGCGTCAGACTATAGAGCTCTCGCGTTTGTTTAACGTATAGAGTCGCTGTGCCCAGCGTGCGCGCGCGTCAACTTGACGTTGGAGTATATTGGACCCTTCATGATGCACTCGCGTCCATTTCGCTAGCTCCACATATACCAAATTTGGTGTTACGTGACGTCAATGGATGAGAAGAAATATGACCGGTGCAAACATGATAATCATGACACGCGTGTCATGTATGAACATGACGACATACCACGTTCATAGAGTGCTCGTGGCCGTTTCGCTAGGCTCACATACACTAAATTTGGTACCACGTGACGTGAATAAATGATGAAGGTAAACAACACATCCAGACATGATAATCCTCACACGGAAGTCATGTACGGCATAATTTACTTCCACCTTGTAACATTGTTGTGATTTGAAAGTGACATATCAACCTTCCTCATTCGTGCTTCGCATATAATCGATTCCCACTGTACGTGGGATCTGCCAATTTTTTCTCAAAAACACCGTTGTTTGCAAGCTTTTCTCTATAAGGTAAGCGCTTGTATCTCGAAGGCGACATTTGGCAGGCACACTACCTCTAGCTAAATTACCTATATATTGACTTCTTGCGGAGTGCCAAATTTCGTTGCCGTTTGCCTCTAACGTCCCGCTGCAGGTAGGAGAGGAGCGGAAAGGGGTCCGAGGGGACGAAGTCATTCGTACTACCGGCCTTAAGAGACTTGCCACGACCGACGTTCTCCGCCAACCACGTGGCTCGCAACCGGCTCTTTCTGTAACCACTGAACGAGCAAAGGCCGCGGCATCGGGTATTTCTCCTGTGTCGCCGGAAAGTACTGCGTTCTATTCAAGCAACCCCGCTGCTCTCACGCCGTTTCGAGACAAAGGCAGCCAGGGAAGGAAATCGCTGAAAGCCTTGGACAAGTTGCTGAAGAATCGCGCGGTGCCTCGCGTGGTGAGTTCTTTGCGTGTGGTGTTCGTATAGTTACTGAGGTGATTGCCGTGCATGTCTCATGTGGAAAACACGCGCCGCCCACGTCGACAACAAAGACGTCTAAAGACGCACGTCTAAGCGATAAGACAGATTGAATGGTGACGTCTTGTTTGACGTCAGCAGGATGACACTATAGACCCATTCCATGTTTGTAAACCCAGGTAGGTCGATGTCGACATTATGGCTAAAATTATAGTGACGTGCGCACGTAACTTCTGCCATAAGCGCTGGGGGCTGCGACGTGCGCCAAGAAAACGACGTTGTGGGACGCCATAAGCGTTGTGAAAGCAATAAGCGCTGTGGGCTGGGATGTGCGCCAACAAACAAAACTAAGGTGTGAGATGCGACTCATATCCAACCGCGACGCAGCTCGTCGGCATACGGTTTTTTTTTGTTGTTGTTGTTGCTTGACTGAGAACACCACATGTACCATTGAAAACCCAGCAGAAACTGTGGTAAGCAGAGCGTCTTCTGCCTACCAAGGCAGCGCCACCGCATTTTGGTGACGTAAGTCAGGTGGAATTTGTCTATAGTAACTTATGGCGTCATCGATTGGCAGATTTGGTTTGGTCGACGAACTCTGCGCCGGAGCACTGGCGCCGGGCAATAGGAGGGCAAATACCGATGAAACACACGCGCTCACTTTAGAGCAAATGGCAGGGTCAAAATGAAACGCGATACGCGCGTCTCTCTTCTTGCTTCGGTGGGCACGCTAGGCACAGTGACGTTACGCTAGCAAAATGTGAGCTTCGACGCGAGGGGCAACTGACACGACCGGTGTTCTTTGGCGCGCCTTAAGTTGGCACCGTTTCGAGGCACGGGTCACTTTCGCCGACTTTCGCGGAGTATAAAAAGTTGCTCCGTGGAGTGGATCTCGCGACGGAGCTGCTCCAGATCTGCCAGTGCAATGTACAAGGAACACACTCAATCCGCCAATGGAATAGACTTGCTGCGCATGGAGCAGAAGAAAGTGTTAACGGAAGCGCTCCGAATCTGCCAATGGTAGGCACCCTTCAAAATGGGGCTAGTTGGTATCACATGACCATAGTTATAGCGCGAGAATAGAACGACGACAAAGTTCTTGTCCCTTTGTCATCGTTTGGTTCTCGCGCTATAACTATAGTGACATTATTCTATTACGTCGTTAGAACACCTTGCTGCTTGGTCATAGATGAATTTCGGTCAGGGGTAGTGGTCCATCGGGTAAAGTATGCAGATAGCTTGAGAGAGCGAGAGGGAACCTACGCAGTCGAATGAAGTAAAAACAATTGATTTGCTCGTAAGCATATGATCCCTCATATTCAGTATTTAGGGCTAAATAGAGAGACCATTGGCTATAAACATTAAATAACAATAAAGAAAGAGGATATTCCGTCTATTTTGAGTGCTCATACTGAATGGTATTTACGTGTAATTTTAGTATTGCCAATACTGCATTGACTAAATGGGTTCTTTAGCGGCAGTGCAACTAGTTGTGTCTACAAGCCACAAATGCGGCAGCATATTTTGAAAATAATTGTATCAATGCCCGGAAGGCACTGGAATTTTAATGAAGCTCATGCACCTTTTGTGATCCTTGAATTACATTCACTTCTCAGTCAATATTTTCCATGTACCCACCCTATTATGATTTATTCTGTTTTCTTTTCTGAAACATTATTGTTGGTATTAGGACATTTGGAACGTCATTTTATGTTGCCGCTTTTCCTTGCATTGCGTGAATGTTTGCCCTGGTAAACCGCACCCTAACGCTTTTCTGTTGTTGAAGGAGTCCTGACACTATGAGCTGACTAACGCATTTCATGTTCTCTATCATGTGCGTCATCTGCTGAACGTCTGAAATTTAAATGCATCTGCCATTTCAAATGCATCGTTTCGTGTGTAAAAGTTTATTATCATTTCCAGTGACTCCTTCTACGATGCTACTGATGTTGATAGAAAAACCAGCTAGACGCGAGTAACTGCTAATGTTTAGACTAGCAAACTGCGCTTTTCGCGCTGCAAGTACCGCTAAATAACTTGACGCCACAGGGACGGCAAAAAGTAGATTAACTTTGCGAACTGCGCATCTGAAAATTATCACGTGTTTCAGCACAAAAGACACCCTATGTTTGAAGGAACAACCAAACCACAAAACAGTTTGAACATTTACTCGTTTGAAGCTAATGCATCTGTGAAGCATGTTTCTCTAACATCTGTGCTGATCATGCAGCTGGTAATTCGCAATAGCGAAAGAGCGACTCTTAACGCGTCACGAAAATTATTTGATGAACAAAATGGCCTGTTCTTGGTTTGTTTTTATGTAAATTGAAACTGATGATGTTTTCAGGTTTCCTCCGTAGCATAAAGCTGAGGTCCCCAATTATGAAAAATATATTTGTTTCTACAAGACCAACAGCCAGTTTCTGAGCAAAGTATTCAGATAATTCTAAATACTTGGGAACGCTTAAATAATGCAACTATGGTTCCGTGAATGTTCTGTCAGCCACGTCAAGTGGCGCAATTCCTTTTCTAGAAAAATGGCGTTGTTCAGTGAATGCTTGCACTGTTTTCATTTAGAGCGCCATACAGGAAGCCTTCGAGTCAGTTGAAATCATGTGGGCGTGCGTACTTGTTTTAGAGGCTAAGCAGTTAAAAGACGCGTGCGCATGCTACCCACCGCGTGCGGTGCGGCTGTGTGAGTACCCCGTGTATAGGCCCTAAGGGCGAGGTTCGTCCGGTGTCCTTTGTCACGGCTACATTAAGTGAGGCAACGCCCGGGTAACGTACGGTGTAGTCGAAACACGCGTGAGACACCCCAAAAGAGGGTCTACAATAGACTAATATTATTCACAATTCCTATACAACGATATAAAACTCCTAAAAGCACAAATATTTTTTACTAGTCAGGCAACTTTGACGTAAATATTATAGAACCTCGCCCACTCGACATTTTTGTGTAGATATATTTTTTATAATTCTTGTTTTGAACATTTCAGGTAGTGAAATATTTGAACGTTCCTCAGGAATGCTTTTTTAATACCATACCATACTTTGTTTCTAATATTCTTGTACAAGTAAAAACACTGTGGTGCTTTTCGCATTTATATGTGTGCGTTTCTTGCGTCGCCCTGAATTACGTTTCTTCGTATAAAGCATGCCTAAAAAAACATTTTACTGATTCCTTGCACTTACATTATAGATCCGCTGCTTTTTTACCACTTCCCTTTGTATTGAAGGTTAACCCGACCAGCTTCACCAATCCGGATACACGAATAATTAATAATTTATAATTTAATATTACTGCTCAATGGCTTCAGTGAAGACCAGTCGAAGAGAAAGTCGTTACCGTACTGCTTCTTTCGGTGACGGATGACGCATTGCTTAGGACCTCGTTGGTAGCTTTCATTATGTAATTACCGCAGTAATTGATGGAGAATGCACGCTTTTATGTCTGCTAAGCCTAAATTATGAGCATATGAAGTAGATAACAAAATTGACTTGTTATCACATTTCTCTTGCCCCAATGCTTGCCCGCCATGAGGACTTTCCACCATGCAGCGTGCTACACTGGTGTCACACGGAGTCGTGCTCCTTGCTTGTGAGAACGAATCACGTTCATGTTATTTTCGAACCTTTGGATCAAAATAACCATTACTCATCCAAGCGATTTGTCACTCGACAGTGAAATTGAACCGAAATAGCTCTCTACCTTTCCAACCCAACAGAACATCAGCCGCATGGCACTTGCCCTAGGGAGTTGTACTTTCAAGTTCCGATAAATTGGTGCGTTGCAGTGGAGTGTCATTGCTAAAGTAAATAAAAGCTAGCTTTTCGATTGCAAGCCATGATCGTGTTTTGGTAAACGGCACATCTGGGTGACACAGTCCGTAACCGGTCTTCTCATTTGCAATGCAGGAACCATCTCCGGCTACTGCTGCTGCCAAGAAATACCGACTTCCGTACAAAGTGAAGGTGTTGCTGGCAGTGTCTGTCATCGCAGTCATTGTGGGATTCACTCTCCTGCTGCTGAATCTGAAGCCGAAGAGACATCGTGTTGAATTTTGTGTCACGAAAGGTTGCCAAGAACATAGGTGAGACAGAGGCAAGGCTTACTTTTACAGAATCGAGTAATTAAGACTGGTCACACCACAGAAGCTTTGACTACAATAGGTCACAGCGACGCACTTAATATATAAAAAGTATTCATGATTGGTTTGGCAAGCTTGGTGGCCTTTAAACTTCTTTTTTTTTCATTTTCGAATAGTGTTATTTGCTACGTGGTGTCGAACACGAATAGTTACCGCGACTACTTTACGCTTAGAAAACCCAGCTTTGCAAGGGCCACGACAAATAAAGCGCCAAGTGGGCTGCATTTTTATATGCCTAATGAAAACGAGCATATTGCGTCAAACAAAGACACGATTCATCAAAACACCATTTGTTCATATTTAAATTCAAGGAATCAATTGGCGAATGAAATGACACTTTGACCAAATGAGTATCTATCTATCTATCTATCTATCTATCTATCTATCTATCTATCTATCTATCTATCTATCTATCTATCTATCTATCTATCTATCTATCTATCTATCTATCTATCTATCTATCTATCTATCTATCTATCTATCTATCTATCTATCTATCTATCTATCTATCTATCTATCTATCTATCTATCTATCTTTTTTTTCGCAGGGACCGTATAGAAAGTCAAATGGATAAGAACATTGAACCTTGCCACGACTTTGGCGCTCACGTGTGCGGACGCTGGAAGGGTATTGGAGAGTCCTACATGTCACGCTCTCAGATGAACGATATGCTCCTGGCGTGGCTCCTCAACTTTCCGAAGACGCTGAGAACCGGCGTGGTTCACTTTCCAGCCGGCAGGAAAATCGATGCGATATTTAAAAGCTGCATGGCACAAGAGGAGTCCGAAATTCACATACTGAAAGAATTCATGGAAGCACGGGGTATCCTCTGGCCAGAGAAATCACCAGAGGATGTACCTCCGGCTATGGCCCTGTTCGACCTTTCCTTCAACTGGAACGCCGACCTGTGGTTTGCTCTCAGGGTACTGCCAGCTGTCTCAGGGAAAGTTCAAAGGCGTATATTCTTCGGAATTAACGGCGAGATCGTCATTTGGAAAGCTTTGATGCAGACGATTCCAAAGAAACACTTGGAAAGCGTGTACACCGGACTCTTCAGGATATTCATCAACGACTCGCGCAGCGTGCCTGACCACGATGAGATGTCAGAAACAATTCGCATTCTTGAATACGTGTTTGATACCATAGTGCCGGCAGGGTTTTCCAAAGCTCGCGCAGGGGCTTTCTTTCGCCTAGGCGAGATCGACAAGATCACTTCTCTGCCCCTTGCGGTGCATATGCGAGACATGTTCAACGCCGTGCTGAGAATCACTCCTCCTGTCACATTAGACGAACTGGTGCTTGTGAGCGACCTGTCTGTGTTCAACAGCATAATGAAGGTACTAAACAGGGTTAATGACACGACACTGTTGCGCCATGTGGCATACTTGTTTGCTCAAACATACGGGGCAGTAGCCTACCCCAGAGGCTTTCTGCTCGTCCTTCATGGCAGTGAGGCCCAGGCCAAGGAGGCACGGCCTCGTTTTTGCGCTCGTCGAGTCGAGCCAAGCTTCAAGCTCCTTGTAGCCGCCTTGACTTCCGTCGCTCAATTTTCAGAAGAGGAACGGCGAAGTGTCGTCGAACGTTTGGAAGAAATTGTCCAGGTGAGCGCCTGGCAACATTCGATGCTAGGCTAGTTTTTCTTCGTGAGTGTTATCCAGCGCCATATTGTGCCACAAGCACGCAAAGTCGTGTTAGGAGGGATGATGTCATGCTTTTCTATGTGTTCGCTTTAAGAATTAGCGCTATATAACTTTCACAAACAAATATACGCATAAAGAGCCAGCCCCTCTATATCACCTGTTAAACGCCACAATGAACGACTGCTTGTTATTGTCTTTGCTGTGCTTGTTCAAGCTGTGCCCGCAAGTCTATTCCAGAGCTTCCAGCCGCACTCCTTCAGAAGCGTAACCATACAGAGAACCAAGCTAAGCATGCGATAAACAATACCTCTCTCGGCGCTCACCCAGGCATAACTAAGTTAGGCCACTGCCAACTTTTTTTGGAGCAGCACTTCCGAAAATGCTTATCATTTTTTGTGCCTTAGTCACCTCCCCCGATAAGTGAATCAAATTTTTGCGTTCTCATGTCCATCACTTTGGCGGCAGGTATGCGTTGAGAATGGGGTCGAAATATGTCACTTTATGGTTGCATGGTCATTTCTGTAGCCACCGTACGTGTCACACATCAATGCATGTGACGTTGCTATTGATTGATATGTGGGGTTTAACGTCCCAAAACCACTTCATGATTATGAGAGACACCGTAGTGGAGGGCTCCGAAAATTTCGACCACCTGGGGTTCTTTAACGTGCACCCAAATCTGAGCACACGCGCCTACAACATTTCCGCCTCCATCGGAAATGCAGCCGCCGCAGCCGGGATTTGAACCCGCGCCATGCGGGTCAGCAGCCGAGTACCTTAGCCACTAGACCACCGCGGCGGGGCATGTGACGTTGCTATCTCGCTCACCTCTAGTCGCAATGCTTTCCGATTCCCACATATTCTATTTAAGCTATGTACTCGGCTAGTGGAACTGGGGTGCTCAGCCACACTATTTCCCTCAACTCGGAGCATGTTTGGTAGGGGCGCAATATGATCTTATTTCTTTTTACGACACCCTTACAGTCAAGGCGAATTGCCGTTTCTACCGCATCCTTTGAAAGCGATCGCCAAGAAAGAACGCTGTGATACGCGAATCATTACGAGCACGAATTCTGTATGACTCCATGGACACTGCGATGTTCCTTCACCGCAGGTGGCTATGAACAAAACAGGTGCCTCCTCATGGCTCGACTCGAGGATCAAGAAAGCAGCCTTGGAGAAGCTCAGCAACGTCCAAACTGTCGTGTGGCCTTCGCAGAAGTTCCTGTCTCCGAGTCGGCTCGAGGAAGTGTACAAACGTTTCCCCGAAGACGCCACGTCCTTTACCGAGTTCTGGATTGAGGCGCGTCGCAGTCAGCGTCTTCTGTTTGGCACTGATGCATCCACTGAAGAGCTGCTACTCGGGAACAACTACAAGATGCACCGACTGAGAGCTAAGTGGTTGACCGTTCCCACGGGGAAAAGCGTGGGAAACGCTCTGGTGGCCAAGACGTATGACAACAACCCGACAGGTTATCACTCTCGCTAGTTGACGGCCCTCTCCCAATTAAAAAGGGGGTGGGGTCCAAAATATTTTTGGGGCGGAGTTTCCCATCAATTAAACGCGCATGATTGGACCCAGGTAGAGGTCTCTTGTCCCCAAGGAAGAGAGGAGGGGGATTTAGGCGCAGGATTTTGCCCTGCTAGGCAGACTAGTCGCTGACCAAGATGGTGTAGAAACAGATCAACAAGCATCTCTTCTAGAAGTTTTTAGTGTGGCTCTGTATCGGCTGGCCACCTAAACTTAGCCGTTCGTCTAGCTGTGACGCAATATTAACGCCTGCAACGTAGACATCGGGACTTCGCCTCGAGTTAGCTCAACCTGCTTGAAGTCGCCTGCAAGCACTAGCCTCCCGGAGCCACCAGCGTTGCAACACCGCCGACATCGCAGTCGTGCCAGAACTCTCTTCGACTTCTCGCGTCCGATCGTCGGGGACACAACGCTGCCGGTCATCACACGTATGCCTTCACCTGTTTATATCTTCGAACTTTCTCCTCCGTCGTTCTATTCTTGTTAGTTTGTGTAGTTTGTAATAGTTCTCTCTCGGTAAGCTGATTATTGTTTCTGTATCTAATTTTGTTGTATCAAGTGTTGAGTATTTGGTTAGTTGTATTGAAGTGTGTATTAGATCTCGTGTGCTGCAATATCACTAGAGTAAAGTTTGTTTTGTTTTCCTCCACGTCTCTGATCTCTTCACTGTCTTGCTTGCGTAGCGGAACGACCAACCTGCTGTCATTCCCGTCGCCGACTTCGCGCTGGCGACGCTAGAGTGGCAGCTTGTAACAAAACCTGGCGTCGCGAGACAGGACGTCCGTACAAGAGTTAAGGACAGTGAGAGGGTGAACGAGAACCGTGGGACAGCGTGGTGATAGAGCCGCACAGTGAATGCGTTTTAGCCTGCATAAGATTGCGCTGGTTTTATAGTGGCGTTATAGTGACACTTTGCAGTATGGAGTGTATGAATTTGGATAAGTGGATCGCGCGCACGGTAAACAGTTAGGCCTCGATGGCGCCGAACTGAGGACAATGGTTAAGGAGCAGCAGGAACAGGCGTTAGCCAGAGAAGAGCGGCAATGGCCCGGGAGGTAAAGAAAGGGAGAGAGACGCGAAGAAAGGAGAGAGAACGAGAAGCGGCAAGGGAAGCGGCTAGGGAAGCGGAGAACGGGAAGTGCAGTTACTGCAATTAAAGATCGCCTCAATGAGAGTAGCAGTCGTGAGCAGATCCAGCAGTGAGCACGGCGATGCGGGGAGGAGCCGAGTTTGAGAATACACGCAGGTAGATGCTCGTCACCTTTGACGAAGGAAGGGACGACTTAGAGCGTTTATACGCCGGTTTGAGAGCATCGCAGAGGGCAAAAGTGGCCTGAAAGCCAATGGGTGACGGCGCTTTCGACATGTCCTTACAGGAGAGGCGCCTAAGTGTTATGGCAGGCTACCGACTGCAGATGCAGGCGGACTACACCAAGGTTAAAACCGCCCTCCTGAAGCGCTTTCGCTTCACGGCGGATGGGTTCCGAGACAAGTTTAATAAGGAGAGGCCAGTAGGGGGTGAAACAGCAACACAGTACGCGGCCCGCTTAAGACATTACTTCGATAGATGGGTTGAGCTGTCCAAAACTGAGACAGAATTCGAGTCCCTCCGAGCATTGTTGATTAGAGAGAGGTTTTTTGCATGGATGTGGTTCGAACCTGGCATTATATTTGAAAGAAAGGAGGGCGGCATCCCTGGAAGACATGCTTGAGCTGGCAGACCAGTTTTTGGAAGCTCAGGGTGGAGCAAGCCTAGCGAAAACAAAGAAAGATGGTCCCATAACGGACGAAAAGGGGAAATACGAAAAAGGAGGCAACAGCCACTCACCACTACCACGGTGCTATATTTGCAATCGTGGGAATCACCCACCGCACTTGTGTCGCAACAGACCTGCCAGCTAATGTAGCCATCGTCTGCTTCAAGTGTGGGAAAAAAGGACATAGGGCAAACGACTGCCGGTCAGGAGCAAATAACTCCCTCAGGCGTCCTGCCTCTACGCACCAAGGGAAACGCGTGAGGATCCCATATGCGACGGGTATGTCGAGCTTAGGAATGGCGAAAAAGTCCCCGTCGTCAACGCCGTAAGGGTGACACCGCCGAAAAATCTGGCCGAGAACCTACCAGTGGCCACAGGGACCCTCCGAGGCACAGACATATCAGTGTTGCGGGATACGGGGTGCAACACAGTAATCGTGCGGAGGAAGTTGGTGAAGGAAGACGAGCTGACAGGTACAAGCAGACTCGTCTACTTGGTTGACGGAACAGCGAGGATGCTGCCCGAAGCACGGATTGAGGTTGACACCCCCCTACTTTACTGGCAATCTGACAGCACTGTGTCTGCAAGATCCACTGTATGACATCATTCTGGGCAATATCGAGGGCGTAAGACCTCCTAATGATCCCAGAAAGCAGACTGAAAAACCAGTCGCGACAAAGGGTTTAAGGGAAGAGCCTGTGGCAGCAGCTATAACCCGTTCCCAAGCGCATGCACAGCCGGGAAAATTTGCCAAGCTTCGTACGCCTGGGACCACGGCGGGATTGCCGGGAGATAACTATGGCTGCGAGCAGAGGGGAGATGCGACACTCAAACAGTGTTTTGAGAAGATCGGCAGGAAGCAAACATGCCGAAATGAGAAGGGAATCATCGAGTACAAACAAGAACAGGGACTGCTGTACCGACAGTACACAGAGGCCAACGGACGGCTTGTACGCCAATTAGTCGTTCCGCGCTGCCACCGAGAAGCTGTGCTTAAAACAGGCACACGATGGTATAATGGCAGGACACTTGGGCACGCAGAAAACCAAGGACCGGATCTCGGAGGAGTTCTTTTGGCCAGGCATCACAGCTGACGTAAAAAGGTTCGTCGCCTCATGTGACATTTGTCAGCGCACCGTACCAAAGGGCCGTGTACCACATGTTCCACTGGGGAGGGCACCCATAATCGACACCCCGTTCAAGCGAGTGGCGATCGATATAGTGGGACCGATTCACCCGCCCTCAAAGCATGGGAACCGATACATTTTGACTTTGATGGATTATGCCACCCGGTATCCAGACGCAGTGGCGCTCCCGAGTATCGAAACTGAGCGAGTGGCCGAAGCCCTGGTCGAGATGTTCTCCCGATTTGGCGTCCCCCGCGAGGTACTGAGCGACCGTGGCACGAACTTCACATCGGACCTGATGAAGGAAGTAGCGCGGCTCCTTTCCGTGCGCCAGCTCCACACCACCCCATATCACCCCATGGCGAATGGCTTGGTGGAAAAATTCAACGGCACCTTAAAATTAATGTTGAAGCGCATGTGCGCCGAAAAACCGAGAGATTGGGACCGCTACCTGGCACCTCTCCTCTTTGCTTATAGGGAGGTTCCGCAGGCCAGTATGGGGTTTTCACCCTTCGAGCTTCTCTACGGCCGCCATGTGAGGGGACCCTTGGCGATACTGAAGGAGCTGTGGACGAACGCCGACTTGACTGAAGAAGCTAAGACGACGTACCAGCATGTCTTCGACCTTCGGAACCGTTTGGAGGAAACGTGCCGCCTGGCACACGAGGAGTTGGAAAAAGCCGGAGCACGGTACACGAAGCTGTACAATCGAAAGGCGAAGGAGCGGAGTTTCAACCCCGGAGACAAGGTACTGATTTTACTTCCAACCGACACGAACAAGCTGCTGCTGCAATGGAAGGGCCCTTTTGAAGTCCGGGAAAAGAAAGGTGAAGCTGACTACGTCGTAGACACGGCTGGCGGCAGAAAAATCTTCCACGCCAACTTACTAAAAAGATACGAGGAGAGGGACAGCCCCTCCACCAAGGTGTGCAACGTGACATTTGGTGTTGTGGAATCGAGCGAGGACGAGAATATTCCAACCCCTGACTGGCTGAAAGTAGAAGGGGAAGAAGACGTGAAGCTCTCCGACAAACTGGACGCTCAGCAGATCGGACAGCTGCAAAGAATTGTCAGGGAACACGCTCGTATTTTCTCGGATGTCCCGGGCAAAACTGACTGGGTCCACTGCAACCTCGAACTCACCACGAGTAACCCCGTCCACGTGAAACAATACCCTCTTCCCTTTGCAACGCGGGAAGGTGTAGAGAAAGAGGTGCGGGAGATGGAGAAGCTCGGCATCATTGAGAAATCAGAGTCACCTTATAATTCGCCAGTCATTTTGGTAAAGAAACCCGACGGGACAAATCGACTGTGTATCGATTTTCGACGCCTGAACAACGTTCTGGTGGCCGACTCCGAACCTATGACAAGAACTGACGCGGTGTTTGCTACAGTGGGAAAGAAGAAGTATTTCTCGAAGCTCGACTTCGTGAAGGGCTATTGGCAGATCCCGCTGACCGAAGAGTCCAAGCGAAGACGGCCTTCTCGACGACATCGGGACTATATCAGTTCCGCTTCATGCCATTCGGCATCAAGACAGCGCCTGCTGTATTTGCTAAGTTGATGCGGAAGGTTGCAGAAGGTATACCCGGTGTGGACCACTACTACGATGATGTACTGGTAGCCACCGAGACATGGAAGAGCACCTGAGGTCTCTGGGACTGCTTTTTGAGCGCATACAGAGGGCCGGGCTTACAGTGCGCCCCAGTAAATGCGAACTTGGTGTAGAAGAAATCGACTTCTTGGGACACCGAGTTGGCAGGGGCAGATTGCAACCACTGGGGAAAACACTCGACAAGATCGAAGCTGCACCACGTCCTTCAACCAAGCGACAAGTGCGCGCCTTCCTCGGTTTGACCGGGTACTATCGGGAATTTATCCCGAATTACGCAGAAGTCAGCGCTCCCCTTACAGATTTAACTCGGAAGGGCGAAGCTAACTCGGTGAAATGGACAGCAGCCCACGAGGAGGCTTTTCGAAGTCTCAAACAACA